AATGCGGAGGCAGGCCCTTTGCTATATCGAAGTGGCCTGCCTGCGTCCAGTCCCAGGAAGCTTTCAGTAGGCCCCGGTAGCCTGAGGCCCAACACGAACGAGTACAGGCCTTGGGCCTGAGGTGGTTGCATGCGCCCAACTGCCTTTGGCCTGTGTTCGGCCCAGTACCCGTATCCAGCCCAGGCCTGCTTTCCATACATTCACACAGGCGGCCCAGGGCCTGGGTTCTCTCAACCAACTGGCGCTGCGCAACTGCCTGAATTTCCTTGAGTTGCGTGGTGACCAAAACAGGGCCCTAAGGGCCTCGTCGAGCCTGCCTTCACTTAGGGCGGCCGACTTGCTTCAGAATGGGGCCATAAGGGGCTCATAGAGGCATTGGCCTTGCATTCCCTCCTCCTTAGCTTCAACAGTCCTCTGAGAAGCTCAATCTTCAATCATTGGGCGCTTTCCCTTCTGCAGAGATCTCTCGTAATGGGCTACAACTTGAGGAGCAGTCTGCATGAGTTCCTCCCTGGTGAACCAGCGGTCCTCCTTCGGATCAGTGTGATGCCGGAACCGAACGTGGTACTGCAGCTTCGGTTTCGGCGGACGTCCCCTGCCGGTTGGTCTTGCCACTGGCATCTCCCTGTGGTCCACGATATCGTCGATATCCACCTCTTCGTCCATGGTTGGGGGCAGCATTGAGCGGCGAGATGGAAACTGATCTGTTTCTTTGAACGGTGCAAGCTTGGAGGCGTGAAAGACAGGGTAAGTGCGAAGATGACCAGGGATCCGGACTACGTAAGAAGGTCCATCCGGATCAGTCCCCATGGTCCAAAGTACTGTGGCATGAGCTTGCGGGAGATCCCGTGCTCCTGTCCCAGTTCTGAGGGCTTAACCCAGACTTTGTCCCCAACCTGAAATGAAGACTCACGGCGGTGTTTGCTCGCAGATTCTATCATAGTCGCCTCTGCCTTTTGCATCTGTTCTACAGCCTGCTGCATCTTCTGTTCATAACGGTAAGCAAATTCTAAGGTACCTGGTGCAGCCGTTGACTGATTCTCAGGAAGGAGAAAATCTAAGGGTAGTCTAGGCTTGAAAGTCAATAGCAAACTGTTCGGGCTCACCCCGGTGGTGCTGTGTACCGCATTATTGTACAGACTGGCGATGAGAGCAAGCTTCTCATCCCAATCCACCTGGTTGGGCTTGATGTAATGCCTCAACAGATGTTCTACAGCGCGGTTCAGTTGCTCGGCCTGGCCGTTGGCCTCTGGGTGATTCCCAGAAGTCATTTGCAACTGGGTTTCCTGCTCTGCAGCAGCGGCCTTCCACAATTCACTGGTAAATCGGACATCCCTGTCACTAATAATAGACTTCGGTAACCCAAAGTCCCTTACCCAGTTCTCTTTGAACATTTTGATCACATACTCAGCCCTTGCTGTTTCCGGCATTGCTACTAATCTAGCATACTTACTAAATCTATCCACGATAACGAAGATGTGTCTCATCCCACTCTTGGTGGTGACCAGCGTATCCATGAAGTCCATGGACAAACTCTCACCAGGCCTTTCCGGAATCGGAAGGGGCTTCAGGAGCCCAAGAGGAGCTTGCGTACGTGGCTTGTCCCTCTGACATACTTGACAAGTCTCCACGTACAGCTGGGCATCTCGCATCATCGTGGGCCACCAGAACCGCTGCAGCAGATTGGCTGCGGTCTTCTTGTACCCAAAATGGCCGGTGGCATCATGGCACTCTCCTAAAAACAAACTACGCAAAGACTCGCTATTCGGAACACACAAACATTTATTCCCAGCCTTATCGAGGAACAACAAGCCGTTGACCAGCTCAAACTCAGCAGAAGTCACTTTGTCCTTCGCTTCGAGTCTGCGGATGATCTCAAACATGAACGGATCCTCACGATAGGCTTCCACCATGGACTGAGTGACATTGTCCGCAAGCCCAAACTCAGTGATCAGCGCACCAGAGAAATCTGGTCTACTCGACAAGGCATCAACAACCTTGTTGTACTCGCCCTTGATGTGCTGGGGCTCGAAGTCATACTGCTCTATGACTTCGATCCAACGCTTCAGAGCGTCGGAGAGCACCGGTTGAGTTATCATCCATCTCAGTGTCTGATGATCAGTCCTGAGGATGAAGAACCTCCCAAGGAGATAGTGTCTCCAATGGGTCAGAGCCTTGTAAACCGCATAGTGTTCCTTCTCATAGGTGGACTAAGCGAACTTCTGAGAGGGCATCTTTTTGGACATGTACTCTACTGGCCTCAACTTTTTCCCCTGTTGTTGTGCAAGTACGACGCCTATGCCATATTGGCTAGCATCCGTAGTTACTATAAATGGCTTATCAGGATCAGGAAGTTTCAAGACTTCGTAATGCGTCAACGCATGCTTCAGATGTCTGAAAGCAGCCTCGCATCTCTCAGTCCACTTCCATGGGGTGTCAAGGCGGGTCAGATCAGTCAAAGGGGCGGCAACTATGCTATAGTTCGCCACGAAATTGCGATAGTAGCCGGTCATCCCTAAGAAAGATCTCATCTCAGTCACAGACTGAGGACGCATCCAGTCACGAATGCTGGCCACCTTCGCGTCGTCGGGCTTCAACCCTTCCGCGGAAATCTCATGACCCAAGTACAAGACATGGGTGCGGCCAAACTCACACTTCTCACCGTTGATCTTGAACTTGTGCTGTCGCAGGAGACTAAGGACTTTGTGGAAGTGTGCAACGTGCTCCTCGACAATCTTACTAAAAATAAGTATGTCATCGAGGTACACAATGACAAACTTATCCAAGTAGTAATGGAATATCCGATTCATAGCGTGCTGAAAGGTGCCAGGAGCATTGCAAAGGCCGGAAGGCATCACCACAAACTCGTATAGACCGGGCCGGATCGCAATCTGATGGTACCCGGACTTCAGATCTATCTTACTGAAGTACCGACACCCTTGCACTCTATCAAGCAAATCGTCGATGCGCGGTAGGGGCTCTCTATTCTTAGCAGTGATGGCATTGATGCCCCTATAGTCAATGCACATCCTCAGACTTCACTCCTTTTTCTTAGGTACAAATAATCCTGGAGACCCATAAGGAGAGACACTCGGCCGGATCCAACCCTTCTCTACGAGTTCCTTGAGTTGTCGGCGAAGCTCATCGAGCTCGCCTGGAGCCATCCGATAGATCCTACCCTTCGGGATGCTAGACCCTGGGATAATCTCTATTGCGTGGACGACCTCCCTCTCTACAACCCGTGTCGGCTCTTCAAATAGATCAGGGTACTTGGCAACTACTCCCTCTATCTCCGACGGCATTTTCACCGGCTCGCCTGCAGCAGAGACATAAACTAAGTACATACCCTCCTCCTGATTTTGCTTATAATAGTTATAGAACGCGGCCGCACACACGCATCCATGGGACTCAATCAGACTACTAGCTTTGAACTTGTGCAATCTGGCGGTCCCTCCACTTGGCAAATTGTGTTTGACCACTTTTCGGTCCCAGTCAAACTGGGGCTGTGCCACAGAGAGGTAGTACATACCTAACAACATGTCCATGGGGAGTTCATCGCTCACTAGGAACGACACATGATGTCTCAATTCCCCTCCCGCGTACGGGAAACAACACTCAATATTCTGGAGGTAGTCATTGACTACCATGCGTTGTTTGTTGGCGCTGCAATTGCCCCTGTAAGCGCAGCCTCTCAACGCACGCGCGATTGATAAAGTTCCTTGTCGAGCAAGTGTCATGATAGGCCCCGACCTTGAGGCCGCCGATGACTACCTCGCTGACGAACATTGACTAATGTCGTCCAAGAAGCTAGCGGGTCTGATCTAGACCACTCCTCCTCTAGCTCCTTTAAGGATTCAAACACATTCATCGAACAGAGGCTCGATGGGTCTGAATGTGTTTGCGGGACGACGCTGGAGTCAGTAGCTTGGGCCATCTCTCGAGATGGTGAGGGTGTCTCCACCACCTCAACCCTAGTAGGAACAACTACTATTCCTACTGGCCCGATGTGTTTCCCGGAGCAGTGCCTGGAGTGATGGCAACATTGCTACCAACGGGATGGGAGGATCCTACCGCCTGCCCCATCGTAGGGGGGATCTTGTCGGTCACCTTCTTGTTACGGCACTTGAACTGATTATGGCCATATTGACCACAACGAATACACGCTTGCCGTGAGTACCGATCTCTCCACACGTCCTCGGTAAGACCCGCCTTCTCCCATGGGGGAGCGTTGGGGTCAACTTGACTCCTTGACCGGGAGCCCCCTTGGCGTCTACCGGTCGCCTTACCTTTTTGAGCTACGACAGCGACAACTCCACCCCCTGAAGCTTCAACGCCGCCCGCCTCTGCACCTACTCCCTCCTGGAAGTTGTCGTCTAATTCGATGGTTGAACCATCGTTATCGACAAACATAATGCGTCCCTTCGCCTTCCAGTTGGGAGGCAGTGTTTTCTTCCTACCATCCGTAGTGGGTGCCTGCCCATGCCCTACTTTTGCTTCAAGGTTTAGGGCCTTCTTGATGAACGAGGGGAAGTTATGAACATTGATGTTGGCCTCACCTGCCAACTGATTCCTGAGAGGCATTGGAAAGCATCTCAGGTACGAGGTGAGTAAAACTTGGGGGTCATAGCGCACCCCAGGGACACAGATCAGACGCTCTACAACGTCGGTGGCCTCCCTGATTGGCTTAAACTGCCGTGTGTGCAGTGTCAAGATCGCGTCAGTGGCCTTTTGAGCCTCCTCAGGATCATGCCACCTTTCTTCCACCATCTTGAGAAAGTCCTCCAGTTTCTGGGGGGCTGCCCAAGAGCGGAAGTCGTGACCATATCCCTGAAGTTGCACCAAACCGCTCAACCATCGTGCTGCACTACCCTTTAGATAGGATGCACGCACTAACACTTCCTCGTGCAGCAGGGTAAGCTTACACTTGACATAGACTGACATTTCCCTCAGCCACGTTTGGAGGTCCTCGCCCCTCTTATCCCCTGTGAAAGGTTTGGGGGCGGCGATGACCGTCTTTGGAACCCACTGTGTTTGTCCCGGTCCCTACATCACTCCGGGCTGTGGACCCTGTGACACAGGTTGCTGTACTAGTTGTTGGGTCTGTGTACCCTGCGGCTGTACAGACTGCGAGACAGCAGGCTGCGTGGTAACCGCAACCTGCAACGGAGATTGGGTGAACACTGTCTGTACAGGAACCTGCAAACTAGATCCTGCTGTGATCCCTCCTGATAGCGGCATGCCCAAGGAAACGATCGCAACCGATGATGGGGCTACATATGGGGATACCTCAGTCACCGGTGGGACAAAAGGAGGAGGCTGTACAACGGGCCAGGCACCAGGCCCGAACATTGGCGACGTTGCCTGCGCTTGCCCAACCAACAGGGCTAGACTTTGCTGGATGTCCTGAAGGATGGTTGTCTGATGGTCCTGCATCTCAACTACATTCAGCAGGACGGACCGTACGATCCTCACCTCATCAGTAACGTGTGTCAGGTCCATCTCCTCTAACTCACTAACATCCGCTTGTCTCCGTTGCATCCTGGCTCTTCTTCTAATCATTCTTTCTTTCTCCGCTTTTATATCTCCTAACGCCTTCTGTAGCTGTGCCTCCTGCAATGCTGCTTGTTGTATGGCGATCTCATCGGAAGTCAACACTAGTGGCTGGCTTGTCATGACGCCAGTGGATTGACTCTGGGTCTGCGCGACCGTTGACCCTATAGATCCTGAACTACCGGCCTGAGTAGTCTGCTGCGCAGAGGTGGCCATGGCTTCCGAAGCTGCGGCTTCACTCACAAGTGCCCTACTAGCCTTTGCTGCTCTAGCCCTCCTCTGCTGCTGCAACCTCTCTCTACGCGGGCGGAACAAATATCTGTCACCCTCTGGACCTAATGCCAAATGGGCTACTGGGCGCCTTGCCGATTGCAAGATCCGGTCGTCTTCTCTAGTGTCCCCCTCGTCGCTCATAAGCTACAACACTGTACACGATCTGCACTAATTCACTCTAGGTGCCTACCGCAGTGTAGTGCACAAACCAACTGGTGGCTATTTCAGAGACTTTACATTCAGGCCCAACAGGTAAGTCAGATTCCTACAAATAAAACTATTTTTAGTTTGAGTAGTCTGCAAACAGAAGCACCATGAACAAGAAACAATTCTAACTAATGTTGTCTGTCAGATGTCAATGGCTGTACACCTAACTAATCAAAACATAAAAATAGAATCATTTGTGTGGATAGGACAACATGGAATTTTCTCGAACTTATCACCTGAAATCTACCCCTCCCTTAGTTCCCCTGAATGTCACTTGACGTCAGCGTCCCTGAGCGATCCGGAGAGCGTTGCGTGTCTAAAAGGTGTGTGTTCAGCCCACCCCTGTGCCCCGAGTAATCTGCTGAGCTGGCCAGCCCTGCACTGGATTATCCTCGCGTGCAGCGAGACTTACAACCATTGGCTGATCCAGAGGCAATTTAACGTCCGCCCCCAAGTGACTCCAGGAATTATTTTATGTCGCAGCCGGACGACGATCACAGCTAATGGTTTCCCCTGCCGGTGTTTATTTAAAGACGCCTGATTCTCGTCTCCCACTTAGTGCTGGCCTGCCCTTCAGCACCCATCTAACAGCGGAGCAAGCCAAACAAAGGACAAACAGCAAAGCATGCGTGCTCTACTCCCGATGGGTTGGCATGGTGACCGTGACCCAGTGCTTCGTCCAGGGCCCTTCAGAAAGCTCCGCCCATCTTCTCCAAGATGCTCCACGTGAACATTGCCGACTCTCAAGGTTGAGCACACTCGACACCTCACAATGAAAGGACTCTCAAGAAGGAACACACAACCTCACGGGAAGAAGTGTAGAAGAGGGTAGGTAAGGTTAAGAGCAACGTACCTCAAATAGCTGCCCCCAACCACAGAGATAATCTCACCAGATGACCTGATGGCGATTGCGATGACCAGTCACTGCATCAGCAAAACCAGCATTATCTCGCCGTTCCACCTCCGCACCAATCGCACATTAGATAGTTCTCATCACACTGTCCAACACCCACATTACACCACGTAGCCTTCCTGGCGATCCCCTCACCTCCTGAGTCGCCAATCACTCGTCTCCACCCTCCTCACTACACACCACTTACGACCAAACTCGCCAAGCAGGCCGCATG